CTTTAATGGCTAATTGATGTTGTAATGCGGTATATTGATTAATCCTGATAAACGATAGGTTTGAAACTGTTCAAACTAGGATTTGAAGGTTTAGAGGTATAGGATTATGTTCAAGACGTTAGCTTTAGCACGATTGAGAACCTTCAGAATAGCGGACCTATTCCCATATGTTTTTTCTTCGTTTTTATCAATAAAGTCTCTGATCAAGCAATAATAATTTTATAACAGGGTAAATTAATACTTAAACCACATAACCATAACATTAAGAAAGTTTTCATTAATTATAATAGAACAAAAGCTTACAAGGTTGAAATTCATTATTTAATCTTTTAGAACAAATGTGTTCCTTAAATAATATTGAAGAATCTCTGGATTTTTTTAACAATATAAGAATCATTGATGAATTATGCAATTTACACGAAGAAGTAACATTGAAAGGAAATTATGACCAAGAGTTACTTAAATCAATAGAACAATATTTGACAAATAATAAATTAAAACCTAAAGACTTAATTAATTTGTGCTTAAATAATTAAACAAACTCTACAATTATAACTATTCTCGCATGTTTTTTTCGTTATGGAAAATGGGTTAAAAAAGATGAAAATAAATCGTTCATTTATTACCGAAAATCTGCTTATATGGAAAATTCTTATGGAATATGTGATCTTGGAGAGTTATATGAAAAAAGGAATTGGAGTCAATAAAGATAAACATAAAACATTCCTTTATTATCAATTATCAGCTAATATAGATAATTCTTATTGGATAAATAAACTTGGATCTTACTATAGAAAAGGAATTGGCGTTGAAAAGAATGAAAATAAAGCATTTTGTTTATCATAAAAAGTCAGCAGAAATGGGGCATGCTAATAGAATCTTTTTTCTTGGATTTTGTTATCAGCATGGAATTGTTAATTATAAAAAATCTTTAGACATGGGCAGTGCTCGCGGAACATACTATGTTATCGATATGGAGCTGCAGTTGAAAAGGATAAATATCATTCATTTATCAAAAATCTTCAGACATGGGTAGTGTTTGTGGAACATGTGATGTTGGTTATTGTTATCAACATGGAATTGGTGTAGAAAAAGATTAACATAAGGCATTTACTTATTATCAAAAATCTGCCAATATGGGTTATGTTTAGTGCTCCGAACGGGTCGGGTTCGGGTCGGGTTATGGTCAACCCGAACCCGACCCGAAACTTTGTTAAAGATAATATTAAATATTAATTTTATATTTAAAATTTAATTTAATTTAATTTAAGTTAAATTATTTAAACTATTATTAAT